AGCCAATCAAAATCAAGAATCTATTCGTAGATCATTCTAGAATGCGATTTCCTAATTTGGTATATTCCCAGACTGCAGTATCCATATTGAACAATTTCTTGGATCAAGACCATGATTTGTAATTGTTTTAAGAATACTATCCGCAACTGATTGACCAGTACATTTATACAAATCTTCAAGATTGGTTACAATAACTGACAGTATATTTTTTTTATGATCCCAAAACATAATACAGATTACAAAATATTTATTCTTTCCATAAGTTGACTTATCTACAAGGATTCCATATTGTGAGCACTCTACAGCTTTCTGTATAGCAGATTCAGTTTCAATCTGTGAAGCATCCTTATGCCAGGTACTTAGAGTTGTCACAGATAACCATCTCTGTGGAGGTTCTCCGATTAAAAATTCATAGACTAGCCGTAATGATTCAACAGTTGTGGTAAGAGAGGTTTGCCCAATTTGTGAAATTTTGGTGAAAAGCCAAACCATCATAGATGAGTATTCCCGATTATCTGTTTTGAATAACATATTGATTTGGCGCTTGAATTCATTCGGAGGTATTGTCTTTGATTTTCATACCAATGATCAGATAGTTGAAATTCGATTTTTTACTTTGTTTCAAAGATACTGATTTGAACTACCTGGTAAAGTAAAAAATTATTGTAATTTGTTGTTTGACTATTACTATACAAATCATATAGTCTAACAAAATTTTATCAAACTTATGCAAATAACAAATATGAATAACCTATCTAAAGACTGAGTTTTAAATATTAGTTTTTGATTAGTTTTTGATAGTTTCTTATTTGACGATTTTAATTTAGCATTCTCAACTTTTAATTTTTTAACTTGACTTTTTTAAGGATCTGTAATAAAGTCGAGTGCTTGTTTTTGCAGATAAGGTGAAATAACTTCATTAGCATGTTTTTCTTTTGGATTCCGCATTGAAGTAAAGAGCTTTAATGTATTTGATTTTTGTGATTTAGTTATTTCACGAATTAATTGAAAAATCTCTTCATCTTTCGTATGATTTACCACATTAGTAAGGGTTTTATGTATTTGTGGAATAAAATCAGAATCAATTTGGGGTATGATTTTATGAATTTGTTGGACTTCATCTCAGTAAAAGCGCATATATGCCATATGGCGTTTTTGCTTTGATAACTTTGGTATATTTAATGACAAAAAAAAAGATCAATTTATTAATTTTATAATCTCACAATTTTTGAAAAATACATGCTTTTATTAATTTTTAACAAAGCTTAATTTAAAAATAAATCCCGATTTGAAAATAATACTATTACTTCATAGGTAAGATATAATAATTTAATAATTATATTGATTATATGTTTAATTAGACAATAACTATTGTCTTTCGATTAATATTTAAACTGGCTATAATTATCAACAGTTAAACCATCAAGGACAATAAACAAATCAGCCAATAGAAACGACAAAAGAGACAATAATCGAATAATTTTGTGAACTAATTCAATTTTGGATAATTACTTTCATTCGAGGTTTAATTAAGGTATAATTTTACTTTTGTTTAAGGTTTAATTGAGATATGATTTTAAAATGCATGAATTTGAACTAATTCGATTTTGAATAATTCTTTTTGTTTGAGGTTTAATTGAAGTATGAATTCGAACTAATTTGATTTTGAATAATTACTTCTGTTTGAGGTTTATGCATGAATTCGAACTAATTCGATTTTGAATAATTCTTTTTGTTTGAGGTTTAATTGAAGTATGAATTCGAACTAATTTGATTTTGAA